AACGTAGTAGTAGTACGTAGTACGTAGTACGTAGTACGTAGTAGTAGTAGTAGTAGTAGTAGAGAGAGAGAGAGAGAGAGAGAGAGAGAGAAGAGAGAGAGAGAGATCTTGGCACTTCCAAAGTCCAAAAGAGGCATCGATCAGGCTCATGAAACTCCAAAAACGTGAATATCACCATACAAATCAGCTACAAATTTGACACCAACTTTTTCTTGCAGGGACAAGGTTTACACTTATTTCTTCAATTCACCAAAAGAAATGGTCATGTGAATAAATGAATCAACAAATGAAAGAATGGCGGAACCCTCCAAGTTGTAGTGAAAGTGAACCTTGGCCCTAGCAACCAAATCCCAGCATGATGCTTTTATTCACCATCCCCCTACTCCAAAAGAACAAAAGTGATACACAATTATGAGAGAGCAAAATAAACCACCCCGAACATTACCGATAAATACATAAGCTGCATATTCTAAAGGGAAACATTATGTTTGTTTTCACCCATATAGTTATGTGTCTGTAGCGCTACAACCGTCCAACAATGATCGGACGGTAGTGAATAAGCTGAGAAAAACATGTTGATGCCAATTGTGTTTGTGAGAGCATAATTAGTGTCTGACATTGTTATTGACTCACTCCCATTAGACAGATGTATGTCATTAGACACAAATTATGTGTGCGGGGACTCGGAAAGCTTGTCCAAATCTAAGTACAAACATAAATACCAAAATACTTTCTATACTGTTAGAATTTACTAAAATAAAAAAAAGAAATAGCTTTGGATGAGAAGGGGAAATTTTTATGACAAAAAACTGGCTGATTCATCAACATGTCAAGTTGACATCTAGCAATTCAAAAGACACCCATATACAGGCAGTGATCTATCTTATGAAAGAAGGATTAAATAAGATGAAATAATAATGAGAAATCCAGAAAAAAACATATGTTAGCCAGTTTATATAGACTTCCATCGCATCAAGTATGACCATATTGGCAGTTATGCTACTGTATTAGAACTAATGTTGTCATATTCAATAGAACCGATTAGAAGTTAAATATGCAGAATAGAAGTTCTTGAAAAAGTTCATGTGGAGAACCTTAAAATTTCACATCTTTTCCATTGTACAATATGTTAAAGACAATTATTACAAATTCTAAGATGAATAGCACCAAATTAAAGCAAGAATCATCTTTCAAGCAGATCAAGGTTAATCAGATCAAATATTGTTTGATGGAAACGTTACAAATGGAAATTTCACATGATATGCATGTAAACAACCAATTACATGTAAACTAAGCAATCTAATCACTAGAATGGAGAAATTTCATCATGGAAACCCCCAAATTTAAAGCGTAAAAGGGAATCAACTTCATCATGGAAAGAGTCAAGTTAGAACATAAGAACCATTATAGCAAGAGCCAACCATTGCAGCAAATCTTGAACTCTCTTCTCCATTATTTCTAAATTATATGGAAGGGTGTAATGCTATCAAAATATGTTAATAAGATGGCTCTCATTTGCCATTGAGAAAGGCATGGTATCCATTACATCAGAAATTGAAGGCCTTGATGAACTCTGGGTTGCCCTTGAATGGTCCATTGGCCTATAATATACTTTCCCTTTACAATCACCACAAATTTTTAATAGCAGTAAAATTAAACACATACCTATCTAATGAAATAAGAGAAATAACTTACCTTTCCATCAGAGGGTGCAATTCAATCTGATTTTCGCCTGAGTTATTCATGATCCTTGCTTATGCTTTTCAATCCATTCTTTGTGGTAAGTGACTCATCCAAATCTGGAACTGCACACCCATGGAGACTAGCATTCAAAGAATCTCTTTTAGTGTACGAACAATTGTATATACAGCTTGCATTGCCCTCCCTCAATTGAAACTTACAATCCAATATATTTTCATCAGCTGATTCCACAGGAACCGCACAAGTTGATTTTGAACGATATTGTGGAGAAAGAAAAAGCTTCTTTCTTAATCTCCCAATGTCGTTAATGCGCAGACCTGAACCAGGAGTCTCATCTTTTGCACAAATTTCAAGTGGCCTTTTCCTCATAATTGATGGAGTGCAAGTAAAGCTCCTAGCCGCATTCTCCAATATATCTTCAGGGCTTACATTATCCAAATTGCTAGAGAGGAAATGGGAGGTGACAGACGGCATGGTTCCTCGAGAATTTAGTAAACTTGGTATTGAATTACTATAGCTCCTTGACTGGTCATCATTTACAGATGAAATGCAGGAGTTTCTCAAGGGCCCTGGTGTATAATCCAAAGAACCTAACGATAATGTGAGAGACACCTCATCACGGGTACTGTTTTCATTATCAGTAGATTCACTTGACACTCTCCTAGAATTGTTACCTTCACATCTGGAGAACAAACCCAAGTCTGGACCAACTGAATTGTCATCAGTTTTTTCCTTAAGACTCTCATGAACCTCATTATAGTTAGGTTTCAATTCCTGGTTCGCACTTAAGAGAGATAAATTTACAGAGGAAGTTTCTGGACACACTTCTGAGCCCAAGTTCTGGCCTGAAGTAACAGCCGAACATTCGCTGTTTTCATTTGCCAATATGATACTTCTATCCAGTCCCTCTCCTGCTGTAGACAAAGATGAAGTGCTCAACAAAGGAGTTACATTAGATTGCTTCTGGAGCTTCTTCTTCATAGTGCAGTTCCAATAGTTCTTTATAGAATTATCCGTCCTATATAAAAAGAAAACGGTTACGACTTAAATTTGATGCAAGTATCCTGAATATTCACTTGGAAATAAATCTTTAGTATTGGTAAATGTCTATTATTAATGAACAAATTCAAGCATAAAGTATCATTCACAAATGGTATAAATAGAAATTGTTAATCAGATTCAATATAAGGCACTTGAACATTCACTCGGAACTAAATCATGAACAATGGTGGTGCTAAATTTCTAAGACTACTTACAAAGAAATTTGAGTGGAAAAATTCATTCCATAAATGGCACCTTCACTAGCCTACAATCCAGCAGCTATATCTGGACCCAAAGCAATTTCTAGTTTTCTTTCAAAATTTCAAATCAGCAATAGAAATTATATATGCTGAAGTATCCCTGGAACTTCTAGCTACACTAGAGCTTCGCGAAGTTGTTCAATTGAGCCATTTGTTCTTCTATCAGGGAAGTACCCCAGTAGCATCTCACTGAAAAAATATGAATTACTCCTAATTGATAAAATATTACAATCCTGGCCATCCCATTCTTGACCCAACACCCTAGCACATTCTCCTATTATAATCTCTCGGCGATTCAGTTGCCAAATATTTAATGCTTTTTCTTATTGTCACCTCTTATTGATAGGCATGAAGACATATAAGGGGTATATCACATGAGATATCGAATCCATGGGGTATAAAGCCCCAAAAATATTCGATCTAAATCTAGTGTCACCAACCCTGAGCAACAGAAATTGTCTCTAGAATCAGCTTCTTTATGGATAGGCTGACAACTACGGTGCATATTAACTTTCTAATTTTCACAGAAGTAACTCCACCTGTTCCAGGGATTGAATAGAAGTATCTAATTACGTGTTGAATAGGGTTCAAAGAAATTTTTTTTTTTAATCATTTATTGCTAATGGAGCTGTTTTACTACCTGCTATTGTCCTCCACCCCCAAAATAAGAATCTCCACTCTATCCCTCTAAACCAATGGCTTACATGTGCCTATAAAATGAGGTCCATCCCGATTTGGTACTTCATCATTTGCTTACTTTCCATCACTCCATCAAAGTGACATCATTTCACCCTTCCAGAACCCCAAAAAGAGAATGAGTTCATTTACAATCCTATTTTCATGACAAGCTTACACTTCCAAAAAAATGACAAGTTTGCCCTTTCAATTGATCTTAACAATTTCCGATACCTATATATATCTACCTATACTAAGCCACGGTTAAGGTTAGGGCAGTGCCATTCAACTAAAAGGGTACCCTATTGATAGAGATAGCTTAAGGCAGTATACCTATTGAGAGGGTTGAGTTCTAGGTAAGAGTGAAGATGCGTAAGTTAAATTTAAGGTAGGAATTTACTACATGCTATGTAGAATACACATCTAATTCCTATCTTGATATATATCTATTTCCAATATAGATAAATCAAATTGATTTTCGCCCTATATGTTAATGTTTCTTTCCTTCCTACATCTTCGCTCTAAATATAGATCCCATTCCTATCCTAAAATATATTCTTCCTAATTTTGACAAATTTAGATTGATTTTTTCTTATATCAAATGATTTCCTCTATACACTCCAAACAGATAGCGAGAGATCATAGGGAAGCCCTATTATTTGTGGAGGTTCCCATCGTACTCCTTTTAAAATAAGATACTTTCTTATTTTACTTCGTTTTATGTTTTGGATAAGTGGGGTGTGAGATAAAAATCAAGATCAAATAAGATGCTCATTTTAAAGTATTAGAATCATTTTACACACTTAAATATGAAAACTTTCGGACTAATGATTCATCGCCATTTAATCATGGATGCAAGATGATTCAATTATTTTGCATAGTCTACTATTGTAGTGTGCATTATGGTTTTAATGGTGGGTCTGCATAGCACCAGCCTCGACTGCACTCCAAAAGGTGAGGTTGTAGTCTCCTGTACTATCCGATTCAAAACTGATGGCAGAGGATCTACTAAGTCTAACATGCTGTGGTGCAAAAACTGTAGTTTGGGTTGATTTCTTTTAGTATTTACTGTTGCAATTTGCCCCTTTTTATTTTACTGGGACATGGAACTATACTTTTTAAGAAAAAAATCATGTTTATTATTGGCTACATACTAAGAACATTTATTGACTAGTATCTTTTTAGGGCAATGGAGGTGCCACCAACTGTTTTTATTCTTGTTAAAATGTTTTCACCAGCTATAGTTTGTGCAAGGTGATTCCAGCTATTGTTTTCTAGTTTATGCTTTATTAGATCAACCCAAGGAAAATTTTCCGTGTCATCTGACCAGCTATAGTTTACTAATTTACGTTATAATGGATCAATATGAACAATTTTCCATAATGAAATTGGTGGAGATATTTAACTAGAGATCAAATATACAGAGATGAAATCCACTGGAAAATTAAGTATAACAAACACTTATTAACACAATAAATTACAAAACAACTTATTAACACAAATTACGCAAATGAAATAACTGGGCATTTTGTATCCTTGCACCTTCTATTTACCTATTACAGTGGCGCCCGGCAAGAACACAAAGATATACTCACCCACCACAAAGAAATAGAGAAGAGAGAAATTTTTATAATCCAGATATGCATGACTCAGAATTTGAAACAGAGAAAATAATTGCATCTTATTGTATAATTTTACCTGCCAGGAATAAATTTCGCGATCTCCGCCCACTTGTTCCCATATATTTGGTGGGCATGAATGAGAACACAATCCTCCTCTTGGGTCCACGGTTCCTTCTTAATTGCAGGGTTTAATTGGTTATACCACCTACAAGATCAACACTTTCACAACTAAAACCTGCAGCATTTGGGTACTTCTTCTTTGTACTTAATTATTTATTCAAGGTTAACATTCTGAAAAAAAACATGGGTAATTTCTAAAACGTATATCTAAAGTACATACCATGTTCCGCATTTAAGTTTATCCTAAAACACATTAAGCTGATGGACATAACTACTTTCACAAGCTACACAACCAAATTCCAATATCCAGTGATAATTAAAACTACTAAAAAATATGAATTACAAAATAAAGGATATTATACCCATAGCCATGGCAATAAATTTTGCCACTGTGGTGCCAAATAACTTAAAAAAGAAGATAAGGGTGAAACTGATAAATGCCCAAACAACAACAATTTTAAGTAACACTCTGAATATCTGACCTTACATATAAAATTGGATGCAAATTCAGCCAATCTTCATGGTTCTCACAACTTTTGCCAAACACAGCTAAATTATTAGCCCTCCTACTTTTATTATTTGAAATTCAATAAAAAGTGCTCGTTAAATTCAAAATGTCAGTAGTTAATGATCACACACACACACACACACACACACACACATATATCTATATATAATCGGTGCCACATCTACTGCTGTACATTGCACTTTCACAGTAGGATAAGGGGAGAGGGCATTCAAGCATTCATATTTACACACACACACACACATATATCTATATATAATCGGTGCCACATCTAGTGCTGTACATTGCACTTTCACAGTAGGATAAGGGGAGAGGGCATTCAAGCATTCAATTAAATATGCAAAGAAAACAGGGTGTGTGTGTGTGAGAGAGAGAGTTCAACCGCCACACGCACACACATTCACACAACAAATATATATACACAAATAGAGTTGACTGCCAGCACATGCACACAGAACAATAAGAAGATAAATATCACCCAATAATATGCAACTTGAGAACATGTTATATTCATAATGCGATAGGTGTTATTCTAATACCTTTCTCGGCATTGTTTCCCTATGCGGCCTGGCAAGGACTGTGCTACAACAGACCACTTCTTAGTCCCTAACTTCTCCACTTGTTTAACAATTTCATCGTCTTCCTGAACTCAAATGATAATATAACATAAATCATAACATGAATCTCGCACCTACACAATATTACAAAACTTTTCCGGTTATAAAAGCTAGAGAGAGGCTAGATTTTTTACCTCTTTGGTCCATGGTCCCTTAACAACATCAGGGTTAAGAACCTTTTGCCAACGATGCAGGCATTGAACATCTGCTCTATCATTAAAACACTTGGCTGCAAAAGATAAAGTAAGTTATTGATCAGAACCCATATAGAACAATTATAGTTGAAAGCTGCACATTCAAGAACAGTAAAATTCAAAATAAAAAATTGAGAATATGAGGATACACAGTGTTATCGATTCCACAAACCTATTTGCTTCCAATTTTTCCCATTGAATTGCTTGACAGCTTGCATTAAAATGGCATCCTGTTCATATTTTTAAAACCAAGAAATTAAAGAGCAGGACATTCACATGAATCATCAAAACAACAATTAATCCTTTAAGAAAGAAAAAAAAAGTCTAAAGGCTTAGAACTAAAAACTAGAGCGTGGGATATCACATTAATAAGTGACAAAGGTAAATCAACTTCCACAAATCAAAATATTGACCTTTTTGTGAAAACGAGGGCTAACTGCCGAATTGTTCTATATGAGGGAACATAATTACATAGGATGCTTGCTCACATTTCCATAAATAAGCATAAACTTCACTCAATAATTCATAGATCCTACAATTATCTTTGTGGTGAAAGACAAAATAACTTTAGAATACCATATGGACTGCAAAATGTGGATAACAAAACACTGCCTTTCATACCTCCTCCTCTGTCCAATTTCCTTTTGTGGAGCGCTTTGTTGGACCATTTGTCCTCCTACAAACAAGAGACAAATACAAGATAAGTCATATAAAAAGTGGATCTCCAAATGTATGATGGTGGTCATACTACACCAGTAAATGACCAAATGATGAATGGCAACATAAAACACATACATTGACATGCATGCACAAATACATAGTTACACATAAATATAGTCCTAAATATAACCAACATTCCAAATGTATGAGGAGGCCATACTTCACTAGTAAACAACATTCCAAATGTATGAGGAGGCCATACGTCCCCAGTAATGACCGAAAGAATATTCCAACATATGAACACACACATAGACATGCATGCATACACAGTAATATACAAATACGGTCCCAAATACAAACACACATGCTTGCATGTATGCATTAAAACATATATGTATTTATATATCTATGTGTGCATAGTCACAAACTGATGCTATAGTTCTAAACCATGGCCTAATGGTATCAAAGTCCTCATCTCAACCACCAGTGAGCAGGTTCTAGCCACACTTGCCTTCAAAATCACTACCCTGAATTGCCACTTGAAATCTAATTTATGTGATCATGAGTTATTGGAGAAAATAGACCATAAGTGTGTCTGTACTAAAAGATTGAGTAAACGAGTATTCAGTTGGACTTTGAGGAATGATAATTCCAAATGGGTTTCTCGAGATGCTAAGGGATATACCAGCAACAACGACTCCAGATTCATGAACAACTTGCATAGGCTGCATTTGAAGGTGTTTCATTGCATTACATACCCGATTCAGTTAAGAAGGCTATGGCAATCAATGGACCATCGCTTGCTATTGTCTTTTGCGATAGAGTGGGCAAGGAAAATGCTGCTCTTAGCCCTTGTTTTACAATAGAAAAAAAATACCTCGTGAGGTATTTTTTTTCCTATTATACTTGCAATTTACAATGGATTGTTGCGTTGATGGGGAGGTGGGAATTGTCGTCATTAACAACCGAAGCCTAAAGCAACTTATCCTATCTTAACTAGTTAAAATACAAAACAGAGACATTACTTATGAATAATCAAGGCAACAAGAAAAATCTCACTAAAATTTGTTTCTCATTTGCTGGATATTCATTCATTTAGAATCTCAGCAAACTTCCTTGCCTTGATATAGCATAATACTATAATGCTAGAATGGGGACAAGTTTTTACACCCATTACGTCCATACGTACGATCCATATCATCATATACATATATGAATGGTCTAAATTGTGAAGATGGAAGCTGCAAATAAAAAGTGGAAGCCAAAACTGGTGCCCCTGTAGATACAGGATTGCTCTAAGGATTTAGAAATTAATGAATAAGCAAATATTCAGTTTCAAACACCCTGTAGGACATAATGATTTGGAAATAAAGCATTTAATGCAAAAGAACCTAAGGACCAGTACTAAAGTCATTGCAAGTAAAATCTGCAAATAAATTTGTTTCTGAAGGAATCAATAAAAAATCTATTTAAACTATATAGTAGCAACAAAAAATATACCAGCAATTTTCTTTCACTTGATTTATGAATAATGCGATATTTATATCAGGGTGCAAGTGGTCAAAAATAATAATTTTGCCCCATTTTAGTAATTTTCCTTTCCAAGGATACATGATTATGTGGACAAGGGGAACACATTACCATGTTTCTGTGTGTGTGCATTTGTATGTTGTGTCGAATATCATATGTCTGTTTGCATGTTTGTATGTGTGTCAAAGCGTGTTTGTATGTGTGTCAAAGCATCAATGAATCACATCCCAATGTCATATATATTTTTAAATAAATGTAAAGCAACCACATTTGCAGTGGCCTAACATATAAACAAATTTGGAAAGAATCCCAGAGTGTAGTCCATTGAGATCATCTCTCTCTCTCTCTCTCTCTCTCTCTCTCTCTCTCTCTCTCTATCAAGTGTTGATGAAAACGATGCACTGTGGTTCCACAAAGTCAAAAAAACAATGAGCCCATATATTTTATTGGGTTGGGGTGGGATCATGAAACCCAAACTAAAAGCACCAGAACATTAACATCCCAGAAGGGAAATATAATTGAACTGAATAAAGAATAAAGAAACAATCGAAAATGAAGAAGAAATGCATGATTTGGAGGAGATAATAACAGAAACCAAATATTACCTTCGGGTAATTGAGTACTGATCAATGGTGCTTCCATTATCAAGCATAATGGGGATCTCAACAGAACCAAATTCCTCTTTTACCTCTTCTACTGAGCCAGGTTCCATTGCAGAGCTTTAAAGTTTTTTAAAAACTGTAACCTAACTGATCTCCAACATTACGAGAAATATCAAGAAATCGGGATCATATATGTAATCAAGCTAAAATACCACCAAAAACCAACACAAAGTTCATTATTAGAAAGAGCAGAACTGAATATCACAGAGAACCAACACAAAATTGATTCAAGAAAGAACACAACTAAATATCTATCACAGAGAACGAATAAAACCAACACAAAACTGATTATTGGAAAGAAGATAACTAAATATCACAGGAAAGCAGCACAAAATCGAACCTTGGAGAAAAATAACTAAATATCACAAAAAACCACACAAATTTGACTCTTAGATAGAACAGTAGTTAACATCACAGAAAACCCACGAAAAGCTTAGTATGGGAAAAGGAAAAAATCAAACATTGGATTAACAAATAAGTGCCCGTGATCATAAATATTAGCCCTAGATCATCAAGAAATTAACTTAAACAGCGGGCTCAAGAAGTGCAGAGAAAAACTCATATTCCATGGAAGAAGCAAAAACAGGAACAAGAAACTGTAACTGGTTAAAGTAGAATACCTGGTAACAAAATCAAACCCTAAATTTCAATGAGCATGAGAGCGAAGCACTGAGACCTGCAAATAGGGCAAAATTACATGGATTCAAGAGCTGAAAAAAACTAAGAAAATACATAGAATAAAAAGAATCAAGAGAGAAGCAGAAGATATGCTCGTAGAAGTTGCAGAGATCAAATTAACTCATGTCTTAATATTGTTAGAGAGAAAAAGACGGGAATTTTACTTCCATTGAAGAGCTCCAGTGTGACGAAGGGAACGCGCGAAACAAGAAACGGAAGTTTATAGAGAGAGATTAGAGCGAGAGAGAGAAAAAGCGAGGGAGGCTTTAAACGTTGAGCATTAAAATAAGGTCGACGTTTGCGATTTTGAAAAGAAACAAATGCCCTTAGTACCTTTCTAAATAACTAAAATATGCCCTCGGCATTACTACCGTTGGATAGTGTGTGCGTCGGTGGACGGATTTCTACAATAACGTTCCCTGGTGCATGCACAAGTCCGATCGGCTCAGGTGGCAACAAGTCCGATCGGCTCGGGTGGGGTCCCGAATCCGGATTCGAATTCACCGGACCTTGATCGGATTCGAATTACTATTTGGATAAGATGGCCTCTCTTGTACGCATAGGGGTGGCAGCGAGTCGGTTTGGATCGGGTTTGTGTCTGGACCTAAACTTGAAAAAAAAAATTTGGAACCTAATCCTGAACTTGGGCCCACCCTAAAAATAAAGAAATATATATTTAGATGTTATGTTAAATATATATATGTATTATTTAAAATTATAATAAAAAATATATAGTTATATTTATTTAAAATTAATTAAATATTATTTATTTAATAATACTATTCAAGTATAATCTAGGTCGGGTCCACATGGACCCAAACCCGAATAGTGCTCAAGTCCAATATTTGGACCCAGATCTGATCCGCCAAGTCCAATTCTTGGACCCACACCTGGACCCACGTCCGGTCTACACATCAGGTCCCAGGTTGGGTCTGGGTCCTATGCCACCCCTATGTATGCAAGGTCTGGGTCCTATGCCACCCCTATGTATGCAAGAACCCCTTTTACTCCCAAATAAAAATAAGCTAAGAATATTGTTAATTTAACAAATCCTAATCTCTCTATGAAAAATAATTCCCCAAAATATTAAAGAGCAAATCCGAACAATTTGTCCATATAATTATCTAATGGAAAAGGTTTTTATACTTTCCCTACGGTATATAAGATATATGCTTCCCCTACCATCCAGCCGTCCAATTTTGATCAAGAGAGCTACTCACCGTTTGATCTTAGATCCGACGTCTCAAAGTATTTTATTTTTAGTTTTTTTATACAAATTGTATGAATATGAAATTTGGTACGTGTCATCTTCTCATTAGGGTGCACCTATAAAACACATTAAAAATATTTTTCGATAAAATATAATGACCAAATACCCCTTGAAATTTTTAGGGGTATTTTGGTCATTTATTATATTGAAAATATTGTTTTTATATTTTTCACTAGTGTAAGTTTAATAGAGAATTGGACATACAAATTTTGGGGTCAAAATAGTTTATCAAAAAATAATTAAAATTAAAATAGTGTAGAGACATGATATTGTGATTTGAGCAATCTTAGCCCTCCATTCAAAATGAATGGTTGGATAAGAGGAAGTATATAAGTTTTATGTTGTACAGAAAGCATAAAAAGCTTGCCTTTATCTAATTACCGTATAATGTACCTAATAAAAAAAAAAAAAAAACGTCGAAGGAAAAAGATATGGTATGTAACCTAGTGTAGATAAGCTAAATACGTCAACGGCCCAGATTGAATCTGAGCCGATCTGACGATCACAGATGCCCAATAGTGTCTAATAGTTTTTGAATTTTATTTATTTTTCTACAAATCGGAATGACCGAAAATTTAGAGCGTGTATTCATCAAAAATAGGCAAATCTACGAAAATGATTTAAAAAATATTTTACATAAAAAAATTGACCAAAATACCCCCACAAAGTTTCGGGGTATTTGGATCAATTGTTTTCTTGTAAATATTTTTTAATATTTTTTGTAGATACGCCTATTTTTTATGAATACAAGTTCTAAATTTAAAGTCATTTTGATTTATATATATAAAAAAAAAATTCAAATCGGCCCAGATTCAGCAATTGTCACATTTAATTTCTTTACCCTAGGCTGACCATATCTTTCTATATACGGCTGAAACCATAAAAATAAAACAACATACCTTTCTTTTCTTTGTTATGTTTCAAGGAGAACTCAAAAGTGTAGGATTCCTCTACATTCCTCTCTCAAATAAATGCCAGCAACACCAACGATTAAAAGGCCACATTGCATTCTGTTTAAGTTTTTTTTTATTCTAACCTTCACTTCTCTCGTTCTTCTTTTTGTATCATTATCTATATCGTTTTATCAAAATCATTTTTTTAAGGGTGTGGTTTGTATGGGGCCTAGGGTTCTGAACAATCAAATTAGAGCCTACCCTCAAATAGTATCGAGAAATGTGATTTTAATATTGAAATTTTTTGTAATAGTCTTAAAATATATTTTTATATTTATTTATAAACTTTAAAGCTTAAAAAATATTGTAGATCGACAGATCTATGAAAACTTGAAAATATTGAAAATTGACTGTCCAAAAAGCCTTACAAAATACACTATTTCCAAAGCTTCAAATCTATTTTTTTCTCATGTCTATGCATCTTGATGTTGAGATGATCAATTTGAGGATACTTGCAAATAAAAACAACCTCTTTTATCAATTTGGACCCGTATTTGAACCCATCAGGTCCCAGGTCTAGTCAGATCCATTGCCACCCTATGAATATGAGATTATTATTTTAATTTTTTTTGCTTTTTTTTTTTAACATAATGAGTTTTTTTTTTTTTTACCGATAATACTATAAATGTTTCTAATATTACAACAATATAAATATCTAGCACACACCTAAAGACACATGAATGCCATCATATACCCTATGTCTATAGGTACATGTTGTATGTAGCTGGACCCGAATAGTATTTGGGTCAAAAATTTGGATCCATACTTGGACCCGAGGTCAGGTATACCCCTCGGATCCCAGGTCTAGTTGGTTACATTGCCACCCCTACACCAAATGAATTCGATGCATCAAGACAAGAAGAGTCATTCGGTAAAATTTGTAGTTATAATGTAGGTAACATGAAAAATATAAAATAATTTTAAGACCACCTACTCTAAATAATCGTTAATAGAATGAAAAAGTTTATATAGATCCGAGGCTCTAAACAATCAAATTTGAGCCTACCTCAAAACTTTGGCTAGAAGATGTCGTTTTGATGCCCAAATATCTTCAAATTGGTCATCTCGACATCAAGATGCTTGGACATGAGAAAAAAAAGGATTTCAAATTTTGGAAATGGTGTATTTTGTAACGCATTTTTGGACAGCCAATTTCCAAGATTTTCAAGTGTTCATAAATATGTCGATCTACACTATTTTTTAAGCGTTAAACTTTATAAAATAAATATGAAAATATATTTTAAGGCTATCATAAAGATTTATGGTATTGAAACTACATTTCTCAACGCTATTTGAAAGTATGCTCTAATTTGCCTACTCTCTATCCAATTCGCGCCTATTGGAGGCAATTAACTTTGTGCTAAAGCTTCTTGACCAATGCCTAGTTGCAAAAAGGTAATATATCATAAGTATAATAGATCTCATCATAAAATAAAAAGAGGAGAAAATAACATGCACAAATTTTTTGTCAAAAAAGATTATAATGTATTAGTAGGAACTCTTTTTCTTTGTGTAAATAATTCAAAAAATAAAATTTAAAAAGGAAAAAAATTTTATGAGAAAATTATGTTAATATCTATTTTATTTAGTGTTATTAAAAATTATTGGTAATTTACTATTATTGCATTTATACCCAAATTTTTTGGTGGTTATGAAATTACTCATATTTCGGGTCATCAATATCTAAAATCAATAAAAATTCCAAACAATATTTTTGTTTTCTATTTTTCCCTAAAAAAAAATTCGATATACAATTTTTTTAAAAAAGTACACGATCCTATGAGAAAATCTAATTTTTGGAGGCTGAAAATTTGAAATTTTAACTTTAAAGTAAATTTCGGATTTTTGAAATCCAAAAATGCCCAGTGATGCTAAAATACAATTTTCAAATTTAAAAAATCCAAAAATTTAATTTTAACATAAATCTAAGATTTAGATAAGGATGGGTTTTTATGAGTCAACCAACTCATTCTATACATATTCTTAAAAATTGATTTTAACAACGTTTTGGATTCTTTTACACCCAGTGGACTTGGATTTCAGATAGAGAAAGATGCATATAGCCATCTTAAAAATGGATTTAAGATAGAGAGAGATCGTTATTGATAAGATCCTTTTACACCTAAGCCTCGCAATAAACATCATTATTCAAATCCCGTTTTTCATTCTGCATTACCTGCTCTCTGCCTTTTTGCTTGACTGTTAAATCCCTTTTTTGACAAAATTTCTACTTTGCTTTTTGTCTCTCTACAATCTATCTGCAGGTTCTTCAAACTCTTACAATGGGATCCTATAACAACATTGGTTATAGACTTTCAACGGATGTGTGTTCAGTTTCGACTGTGCAATCCCATCAGAATGTGGTAATCAGAGTTTTTGTCAAAAAGAGGACGATATTTACTAACCTTACGTCCCAAGATGCTGATTTCTTGGATTCAATTGATTTCTTTGCGTTAGAGTTGGCAACCTCCATAACCCAACACTTACAAACTCAAGAACGCGCATACATGTACCTTTTGCTTGCATTGGTGGAACATATACCGATACCCTTGCAGATCATCCGTGGCCTCAGTTGGGAAATAGCCTGTCAAGCCTGTGACAATGCTCGCTCTCTCGACCAGCCTAACATACAGGTACAGTTGCGGTTCTTTATAGATATCAAACACGAGAGAGAAATCGCAGAAGGTGACCACTCGGAACCCGAAACCGAATATGAAACCCGCCAAGAAGAAGAGGAACTTCCTGAAGCTGAAACCGAATATGAGGATCTCCAAGAAGTGGAAGAAATTCTTGAAGCTGAAACCGAATATGAGGATCCCCAAAGAGAGGAGGAAATTCCCGAAGCTGAAACCGAATATGAGGCCCCTCAAGAAGAGGAGATTCCTGAAGCTGAGATGCACGAACTTGGCATATTAATGGAATTAGAGCTTGAGCTTGGCATATTCATGGAAGTGACTTCGCAGTATATTTTTGAAGGTGAGTTCCGGCAAATGGAAACAGATAATCTCGAGCATCTTATAGGCATCGAGGCATCCTCACAGGTAGATTGTACTCCGAGAACAGTGGCAAGATCAATAGTAGATTCCTTAGCAAAGGCGGATATCAAGGCGGAAGAAGAGGTTCTTTGCACTGTGTGCCTCTGCAACATCAATGCTTCCGATGGGGATGGGAGGGTACTCCCGTGCTCCCATATGTATCATGAGGATTGCATCTACGAGTGGTTGAAGTCGAGAAATTCATGTCCAGTGTGCCGATTCGAGTTCCCTGCTAACCTGCCCTAGAATGCCTATCTCTAAATTCTTGTATTTACTTGAAAATATTAATCTAATAAAAAGAATATCTCTTTTTTTTATTCTTTTTTGTAATCAACTTCTAGTTTCTTTTAAGTTTTAAATGGTACTTTTTGTTACCAAGAGGAAAAATGAGCAGTGTCATTTCAATGCAATTATATCCGGTATCAAAACTTGCATTAAATTGAAAGAAAAATATAAAAAATTAAATGAAAATCCTGAAAACTAATGGTCTAGATAATAAATTGTTTTCAAGATATGAAATCAATTTTTTCGTCAGTTCATACATTTTGAGATGGAGATGATTGAATTAAAAGTTTTTCAATATCAAAACAAACCCTTTATTTTGAAAACCCCAAAATTTAAATATTTATTTTGAAAACTATAAATTTCTTATAACAATGATTTCAAATTTATTTAATACATAAATTTAAATTTATAAATATAAATTAAATTTTGTAATTGGCCAATTGTTATAACTAATAAATAAAATAAACTTTTATTCACAAATAAATTTATTTTTTATAAAAAAAATACAAAAGATCACACATTTTCCTTTATTTACTTCGTTTTGTGCCTTAATCATACATTTTCTTCGTTCTAATGAAGTTCATTATATATATGGATCATATCTCCCTAGACTTGGATCGTACAATCACCATTTATTTTTTTATAAATTAAATTTTATAATTGGCTAATGTTATAATTAATAAACAAAATTAAAATTAAATAAATTTGTATTCACAAATAAAATTATTTTTAAAAAAAATTGTACAAAAGATCACCCATTTTCTTTTATTTACATATTTTTGTGTCTTAATCTATGTGAAGTTCCTTATATACATAGATATCATATCTCCCTAGGATCTATGATCGTATCGTCACCATTTATTTTAAAATTTGATCCTTAGTCTCTCTCTTATCTCATATTGCCTTACTACAACTAATAAAGAAAGAAGATTAGATTTATCATATGGGAAAGCTTTCTAGGTTCTCCTACAACATAGAAGGTTCTATGTTCCCCCTACCATCCAGCCGTCCATTTTTTATCAAGAGAGCCACCTACCTTTTGATCTTAGATCCGACGTCTCAAAGTATTTTATTTTTAGTTTTTTTAATACAATTTTTTTTTTAATATAAAATTTGGTACATGCCATTTTCTTATTAGGGCGCACCTATAAAAAAATATTAACAATAATTTTTGGATAAAAAATAATGATCAAAATACCCCTTGAAAATTTCAACGGTGATTTGGTCATTTTATTTTATTGAAAATATTTTTTTTATATTTTTCATTAGTGCGAATTTAATATAGGAATAGACTTTTAAAATTTAGTGTCAAAAAAGTTTATAAAAAAAAAATTAAAAATAAAACAGTGTAGAGAAGCGACATTATGATTGAGACAATCTTAACCCTCCATTAAAAAATGGACTAAAGGGAATCATAGAACTTTTAAGTTGTAGGGGAACATAGAAAGCGTTCCCTTTATTATATTGCCTTACTACAGCTGATAAAGAAAAAAGATTAGATTTATCAAGAAAACAAAAGATATCAAAGAAGATAAGATTTATCATATTGCCTTGTTAGATTTATCAAGATAACAAAAGATATCAAAGAAGATAATATTTATCAACAAAAAAAAAAGGCATCAAAGAAGATCAGATTTATCCAGAAAAGCAAAAGACATTTATTAATGTCCGTTGATGGAGCATTAATGTAAGGAGAATATATATTAAATTTTCATCCAATTTTTCTTACGCATTTACTATAAGGCAAGGAAACTAGTACGTAGAATAAAAATAAAAAATAAAAAAAATAAAAATACCATGGGTCAATTTTGGGTGAAAATTATACAGAAAGTTAGTCAACTCATTTTTTTTATTTTTCCAAAATTACCATTTGGTGCAAGGATACCAATCCTCATACTGCTTTTTAATGTTTTAATCTTTTTTGTTAGTATGGCAGTGCCCTAATGTTTTTTATTGGAAAAAAATTAAAGAAAATAAAAAATAAAATGTAGTCCGAGGATCATCCTTGGACCAAAGGGAATTTTGGAAAAAATAAACTACCTCATGTTGACTGACCTTCCACATAAATTTAACACAAAGTTAACTCATTTCGCATTTTAGTTTGTATCCATAAGTAATTCACTAATAATAATAATAATAATAATAATAATAATAATAAATAAATAAATAAATAAAACACACAAACCAAAATTCAACATATTTTCACTTTCATCTATCCAAGTGACACATACAACAAATATATTTGTTGACAGGATGGTGCAAAAACCAGTTTAAAGCAAACCAAAAGCCAAAAAAACAAATTACACAAAGAATCCACGATTCGAGACTACGAAATAAATAATTAAAAGGCAGAAGTATAGGGTACAAAACAACAATAACAAGAAAGTAAACAAACATTTAGGATTAATTTAAGAAAAAGTATACAAAGACTGGAGCGAACTGAATAACAAACATGATCGTGCAACTAGGATTTAGATAAGGGTGTAGTTGGCATATGGATGCATTCATAGCTATAGAGGTAAGGTGCGCCTTCAAATTTTATCATGGAATATAATTTTGGTGTACAATGTTCTTAGAATTATCTCAAAATTTATTTTTACATCTAATTATAAAATTTTAAATTTAAAAAATGGTTAAAATCAAGTAGATCTATAAACATATGAAAGTCTTGACAATGGACGGTGTGGATAATATATTGTAAAATGCACTATTTTTTAGACTTAAAATCTTTTTATTTTTCATGATCATACATCTTGATGTCGAGATGAACAATCAAAGGGTTTTTCAACATTAAAACTACCTTTTCGATGGATTTTTGAGATGCATCCGTAGCTCCGCATTACAATCTTACATAAACTTTTTCCTTTAGAAAATGAGAACACCAACGTAACCAACATAAACCTAAATGAAAATATGCCAAATTAAAATTGAGATTTATAAAATTCAGATTTATACCTCAATAACCTTTTTGTTTTTTTTGGGAAGAATTATGTGATAAGAAATTCTTTTTAATCAAGAAACCAATCAACCCATACCCATACAAAAAACCAAAGAAAGAAATAGTTCATAAAGAACACAAAAGAAATACACAAAAAAAAAATCCAAAGCATGCGTAATATGCAAAACTTATTTTTTAACATGCAACATTCCAATTAAGATATTCTTTTAAAAAAAAAAAAAAGAGTTTTTCTAGATGAACGTACCTTACAGAGAGGATTCGAGTAACGGAGAATCTCCTCTTCTCTCTCGACGTATTGGATTTTCTCTCTCTAACCTGAAATCTCTCTCTAGAATCTCTCTATAAATATCAAGAATCTCTCCCTATCAAGAATCACTCTCTCTTTATACCAACATACCAAGAATCACTCTTTCACGTTTTATGCTTCCCCTAAATTTAATCATATTGAATTTAGGATTTGACATGAGATAAAGGCGGATTAAATTTTAAAATCGTAATAAATTCCTATCCCAAAATTAAGGAAGAATTAGAATCGTATTAGGAAACATCAGGGGAAATTCAATATAAATAGGATCAATGTTACTTCTTTCTCTCTCTAAAAAACAGCAGTTATCAGGTTCTTTCTCCTCATAACGCCTTCTTGGTTCTCAGGTTCTCTCTTTAGGGGCAGGTAATTTTTATGAGTCAAGAACTATGCTATAATAATTTTATTTTTTTGTTATTTTATAAGTATTTTTAATTATAAATCGACTTCATCTTACTCCGAGCTTACCCGTGTATGAAATCTTCATCAAGTCTTTTTTATTTATTTATTAGGGACTTTAATTTTGTCCTTGCATAATATCATGTCTAATAAGCCGAACATGTATATAACCTTGTAAAACACCGAATTAGGGGTGGCAACGGATCGGGTTCGGCTAAACCCAGACCTGAATATAGACCCGTCAGGTTTGGTCTGATCCATTGCCACCCTATGGCCATGAACTTTTTTTTTTTTAGCTTTTTTTTAACATCACATACCTTGAGCTTCTTTATTTTTTGCCAACTTATACCCGATGACTACGGGCATGGTTCGGGTGCGGCTAGACCCCAATAAGATTCGGGTCCAAAATTTGGACCTGGACCTGGACCTGAGGTCGGGGATACCCATTGGATCCCAAGTCTAGTCAGGTCCATTGCCACCCCTACATCGAATGAATTTGATGCATCAAGACAAGAAGACTCATTCGGTAAAATTTGCAATTATAATGCAAGGAACATGAAAAATATAAAATATTGATTAAAAAAAAATGAAAAATATAAAATAATTTGAAAACTAGTTACTCTAAATACTCATTAGTAAAAACCCCTTGGAGTCAAATAACCTTGTGTTAAAGCTTCTTGACCAATGCGTAGTTGCAAAATGGTGATGTATCATGAGATAATATAATACTTCTTACCAAAAGGTCAAAAAATAAAAAAATAAAAAAAAGGAGAAAATAACATGCACAAATTTTTTGTCAAAAAATATTATAATCCATTAGTAGGAACTTTTTTTCTTTGTCTAAATAATTCAAAAAATAAATATTAAAAAGGAAAAATAAAAATAATAAGGAATTATGTTAATATCCATTTTATCTAATGCTACTTAACATTATTGGTAATTTACTGTTATTGCATCTATTCCCAAATTTTTTGGTGGTTATGAATTTATCCGTATTTTAGGTCTTCAATATCTGAAATCAATAAAAAATTCAAGAGGATATTTTCTTTTTCTTTTTTTGCCTAAAAAAAAAAAAAGATTTTCAATATACAAATCTACAAAAAACTACATGATCCCGCAAGAAAATGTAATTTTTGGATGCCGAAAATCCGAAAATTTAAATTCAAAGTAAATTTTAGATTTTTGAAATCCGAAAATGTTAAGTGCTGCTAACATACAATTTTCAGATTTTGAAAATCTAAACAATTAATTTTAAAATATATTTAAGCTTTACATAAGGATGGGTTTATATGAATCCCC